GATGGATATAGGAGGATAGTAGATAGACAGATGATAGATAGATAGATGGATATAGGTAGATAGTAGATAGACAGATGATAGATAGATAGATAGATAGATAGAGTGGGGAGATTAGATTGACACTAGGGACACTCATTTAGTTTGAAAATGTCTTCAAGAATCCAAGTTCTTTCTCACTTTTTTTAGTTGTAAACTAAGATTTCAGTCACCACACAGAGTAAGAAGTTCCTCATGGCATCTTCATATACATGGGTCACTGTACTTTGTCTCCTCCCCTTTCATACTCCCCCTTTCTTCCTGGCTGACCCCTTCCTCCTCCCAATTTGCTCCCCCCTGCTTCCTTTTTCTTCTGCTTCCTTTTTTTTCTTCTCTTTTTCTTTCTCTCTCTCTCTTTTGAGACAGGGCTTCACTATGTAGCCTCGTCTGTCCTGGACTCACTCTGTAGACTTGGCTGGCTTCAAATTTACAGAGATCCACTTGCCTCTGCCTCACAAGTGCCGAAAAGTGCTAGTCGCCATGCCTAACCCTTTTGGCTTTTTTTATTATCACATTATCGCCTTTATTTCTCCTCCCTTATGATCTTTTTTCCTCTTGATTCTCTTTCTAGCTCTCTCTCTCTCTCTCTCTCTCTCTCTCTCTCTCACACACACACTTTTTAAAATCTAGATTCAGAATAGGAGTGAAAACAAAATATCTAGATGTTTGTCTAGAGTCCGGACTAACATAATGATTTCCAGTTGTCTTCATTTTCCTGAAAATGTCATGGTTTTGTTGTTCTTTGCAGCTGGACTGTATGCGTAGACCACATCTTTATCCATCCATCTGTTGATGGCATCTGGGCTGGTCCCTTTCTTGACTGTTGTGACTACTGCAGTCATAACGGTGGACATCAGGCATCTCCGTGGTTATGTTGACTGAGAGTCCTTCGGGTACCGCAAGTGGTATAGCTGGGTTGCATGTAAATCTATTTCCAGTTATTTGAGAAGCCTCCACCCCGCTCTCCACGGCGGCTGAGGGAGTTCACATTTCCACCAGCAGTGAGCAAAGCTTCCTGTTTCTCCACGTCCACAACAGCAGCTGCTGTGGTCTGTTTTCTTGGAGACAGCCTTTCAGACAGGGGTGACAGAATCTCAGAGCAGCTCAAATTGTATTTCTGGATGATTGAAGGTAGTGTGTGTTTTCCAT